CCTACAATTTTTTGTTTATAATAATTACGATTCCTATAAAACTACAAAAAAATATACGTATTTTGGAAATGTTGAGTCGGATTAGTCTAGAATCGATTAATTTTATGGAAGAAAACCTTTCAATCAGCCGTAGTCCGTAAACTTCTCACGTGTCGGGCTGTGATTGGAAGGACTCGTAAGAAATCGGATTCCTAAAGAATGGAACATATCTATCTTATAGGGGGGGTCGACTGTATATGTTTAATTAATTAGGGGGGTCAGAAATCGCAATAAAAATTATAATTTTTTAAAAATATTAAAAAATATAGGTTTAGTTTCTAGTCACCCTACTTTAAACCCTTCTCCTCCCAAACGTCTATGAGAATGTCCCAGGAAATATGACACCAGCTGTTCTCAAGGTCATCCAGATGTGTAAACAATGACTCATCGGTGTTAAATTTAACAGAAAGGCGAGACAAAGGAAACTAAATGATGAAGCTTTTTAACCAAAATTAACACATTTCTTTCGTTTTTTTTCAATTTTAAGTATTTTTTATGCTTAATTAAAAATTTTTTAAAAAAGTGGACAAGAAGGGGTTAAGAACATGTGGAACCCATATATTGAGCTTTGAAACGAAACCAATTTGTTTCAAGTGATCATAAATGGTTCAATTTGACAAATTTAATCTCTTAGTGATTTCACGTGTTGTTATTTGGCAGTTTGCTTCAATCAGTTCCTTTATTTTGTTTTCATTGGCTTCAACCGCCCATCCAGAACGTGGTGCATCTTCAATATTGAAATTGCCAGAACGAAATTTTGTAAACCAGTTTTGGCACTGTCGTTCTGTCAATACATCTTCTCCNGCTTCAACTGCCCATCCAGAACGTGGTGCATCTTCAATATTGAAATTGCCAGAACGAAATTTTGTAAACCAGTTTTGGCACTGTCGTTCTGTCAATACATCTTCTCCATACACATCACACAATTTTTTTCTCGCTTGAACAGCATTCTTACCTTTTCAGTAATAAAAGAGCAAAATATGCTGAAAATGCTGCTTCTGATCTTCCATATTTGATGGGACAAAATAAACAATTGCACAGAATCAAACAAAATTTTTTACAAATAAGCCTTAAAATGGTAGCTGTCAAAATATATAATGATAATACAGTTTAGAATGAAAATGGCAGGAAAAATACGACTAATCCATTTAGTGGTAAAAAAAACGAACTTACTTTCTGAACAACCCAATAGTTCAAGTGATTTAATGGAGTCAAATTGGCCCAGCCTTAGTCATGCAAATATTACATATATTCAGTATTAAAATGTTATAGAATTTTCTCAACAGACATTTATTATCTAAAAGAATAAAAATTTTTAAATTAAGAAATTATATTTGATACACGTTTATAATTATATTCCTGATAGCTGACAGTCCTTTTTAGTTCCTGTCTATAAATGTATATTTAACACATTACTGGGCTGCAATTTGAAAAAACTGTAGACCTATAAATTCCCACTGCCTCTGTCCATCCATCATTCATAAATCTTGAGAATGGAATTAGATATATGAAAGTCAAGACCAGATATAGAAAGCTTAGGGGCAAGGGGCCCCAATTAGCTACATAATGCAAACTGGAAGTCATGTTATTTCAATTCAAAAATTTTTCCTGAAAGAAGTTAGATAGATGACCAGCATGACTCCCTTGCTAACAGAAAAGTATGATGTACACGGGCAACATGCTACAGTATTAATTTGAGATGGAGAGCATATATTTTAAATTAAATAAATTAAAAACATGATTAAAAATTGCAGCCCAGCATTGTGACAATATCATAATAAATAATTGCTCATTACATAATGTATACATATTTTTCAAAATTCATTTGATGTTTGAATTACTATTACAAATATATACTATATGTAATTAAATTTAAAATGCTCATTTGATTAATTTTCATTCACAAAATCTTTGCCATAATAAAAGTAATAATAGATACTTAAATAATTTTTTGTTAATATTAACTTTGTGTGTTAAATAAGTTTGTTACCAAATTTAAATTTAATTAATTATTCTAAATTATTAAATCAAAAATATTAAAAACAAATAGTAATGTGACTAACTGTGGGGTATTCTCATTAATGAATTATCTGGCTATCAATCAACTAAGACAAACTATCTTATTAATTGATAAATATATCATTAAAGCAACCAAAGCAAAATTAACTGGCTAGAAGCAGCTATAATAATAATAATTATAATTGCCAACGCAACGGTAAGCAGGAGTTGCAGATTCGAGTCCCACTCAGGGCCGATTCTTTTCTTCCAGTTAGTTCTAAATTTATTTAAATTATTTAATTAAAATTATAATTATTAAATTTAGCATGAGATGGTGCCTAACGCCTAACTCTAATACCAAATTATCTTAAATTATAATTATTATTATTATTATAGCCACTTCTAGCCCGTTAATTCGGCTTTGGTTGCTTTAACATTTATCGGGTTAGCTGAAGTTTGTTTATATAGATAAATATATCACCACGAAATAAAAAGAAAATTACATTATTGGTTGTAAGTTAATTAAGAAGTGTTTTTGCAAGTATTTTATTTTATAACTTAAAAACATCTTAATGATTTATCATAACAACAACAAATAATAACATATAATTGAGAAAACAAAACATACTTTTGGAGTTCTAAGAACAAATTTATGTTGCCCATCTTTTTTATTTTCTGATATATTTTTCTTTGGTAGTTTCACCTATTGAAAAAAGAAAATCAGTTACTTTATTTGGAATTCATTTAGATTTCAAAAAGCAAATGTTTCAGATTAAAATCACTTTCAGAACAGAATATACACAAACACTAAAAAATAAACATACTCTGTAAATAAACTCCAAATAGAAAGCATACAAATATCTTAAAAGGTCATGAACTAACTCCTACTTTGTACTTTAAAATTTTGTCAAACTAATAGAAATATATCACAGATTTATTCAACAGCCAGAAATTATCTTTAAGCATAAAAAAGCTTTTCATTTATAAATAATATCTTGTCTAATAATTTATAATAAATATATAAATAATATTTAATAATTTCTGGCAGTTTGACTGCTCAATATATGTATCAAGCTAGGATTTGTTACATATTTAATTTATTCAAACTTCAGTTATAATACCTTAGTTAAGAAATGAGTTAAAATTATAGCATATAAAATTAAGACAGTATTAACTCTAAACATGAAATTGACTAAAATTGGCTTAATCCATTCAAGATAAAATCAGCTGAAGGAAGAGTTGTTTGACTGGTTTTGCAATACAAATTCTTCTTGTAGCCTAAACGGTAAAAACAATTTCATCTCTGGATAGAGGAAAAAATATATATTTTTAGAGCTTAAAGAGTTTAATTACAGCATTATCTTAATTCTATATGCTGTAATTTCAGATAGTTAAACCATTAATACATATAAATTGAAGTTTTAAACCTGAAAAAATCTCTTTACAATTGAAATTTACATTATTAACATATAAAATGCAAACTATACCAGAAAGTGGCAAACAACAGTAACAACACAGCTAATAATTGCAATATGCCGCTTAGCACAGTTTCAGCAGGCAAGCCACCATAGTTGTTTCCAAGTAAAGTTCATTTGTGAACTTAATTGGCTTTTTAAACAAGCATATTAATAGTAATAAAACTGCAGTATAAATGAACACTATACTACACATTGATTTCAACAGCTGATGCACAACAATGCATAAACTGACATCACGTACTTAATGTAATAATATCATCAGTAAACATAATCAAATCAAAACTGACAATTTCAACAAAATATTAATAATATACACAGCATACCATGCTATATGTATAGTACTATTAATACAGTATTTTATCTAGTTTTGACTTCAATGTTTACTGATAGACCTGACATACAATAGAATTCTCATTAAGATAACTTCAGATTGCTTTGTCCTACATAGCTCCTTTTGCATACATTCCTTTTGGTATGAGTTATACCAAAAAATTGTGTGTGAAAGTCTATATTCTCTTCACCTTTACATTCAGTATGAACCTAAAATTTGATTCTTGTGTAAAATGCAATAAATCCTTTTCTTTTTTTTTTATGTTTACATTTCTTCTTCAAATTAATGTCAATTCTCTTGTTTCATCTGAGATTAGAGAAAATTTTTCATGTCATGTATTTTCTGGAAATCATTTGAAGTTTACACCATAACTTAGAAAGAAAACAAAGTCCATTGATGTAGATTTTTTCTTAATAAAATGTTTTTTATCCTGTCCAGTACTGGATGATTCATACATTCTGGTATTGAGAAAGTAACATGCTACAATATTCTATATATTCTCACTTTGTAATGATGCTTTCTTTTATTTCCTATTTCTTAACATATTTGCTAATATGATAAGAAAAATATCATGTAATAAGAAATTAAGATATAATAAAATATTAATTTACCCCTCTGTAAAACCAGAACAAAGGGCAAAACTTTAAATACTGCATGAATGCAACACAAAATGCACCTTCACACATCAATTTCTTCTTTCAGATTGCCTTGACTACAAGTCAGAAACTATTGGCTTGCATGCCTTATTTAAACCATCTTGACAAAAACTGGTACCTATCTGCCATCAAAATTACATGAACAGAACCTTGTCCAGTACTAGGAAGGATCTGGTACTGAGCAAACTTCAACTAATATTTTTTAATGAATCATTGATTATTTCAAAAATTTTATTTGAAAACTCAATTATGTTAGTTAAATTAATTCATAATTCATTGCTAACATTTTTTATTTGTAATATTTAAAATAATAAATAAATAATTTGTTTTTACATTGGTTTTTAAATATATGATGTTAATAAACATCTCAGAAATATTTTCAATAAAAAAATTATAAATATTTTTAGTTATACACTAAAAATATATTTAATATGGACAAATATAAAATAATTATTTTAATTAAAAAAATATAGTTAAAATACTTAAATATGCTTATAAATTAATATGAGATTTTTTTAATTAATTAAATTATTTTGAGTATTCATAAGTTAAAATTGGATTTATCACAAAGCAATTATACCTGTGATTTAGTTGTGCAATATCTGAATGTTTCATTCAAATATAAAACATTTCTGGATTTATACAAAATTTTAGTAAAACAGTATATTGTAGAATATTGAAATACCATTACTTCTTACATCTGTACTATTTTTCAGATAGCCTAGAGGGAAAATAATAATATAAATTATTCAGAATATATATTCAATATTAAAGCAAAAATATTTAAACAAACAAATTAAATATGAATAATTACAATGAGTTTGCAATTATTCAAATTAAATATGAATAATTACATGAGTTTGCAATAATATTCCAAGCTGAATAAATTATAAGTAAATTGTATATATGTTACTGTATGATTGTAAAATTAATCATACTAATCAAAAACATCAACAGTTTTCATTTATAAATTAAAACTGGTCAGGTTAACCAAGCTTTTTAAAGAACTGTTTTAAGAACTTTCTGTTATATTTCACAAATCCATATTATATATTATGAGTGAGTACAATTTTACTACTTCAGCAACTTCTACAAATGATATGATGTATAAAATCCAATTGATTCTAAATATAATTATTGGAATTTCAAACCAGTCCTACAATAGAGGGATGCACATTGAAAATAATAATAAAAATAAGCAGCAACATTTAAAATTTTGGTAATTAAATTATTCCCAGCAACATTTTATTGTGTTTTAAATCATTTCTTCAGCAAAATACATTACTATAGAAAGTTTTTGCTATAATTGGTATTGGAATCAGTTATAGCAAAAACTTTTCGCAATAATGTTTTATTGATTTTCTCTCAATGTACTTCTATGTATTTTTTAAGATTTCCATATTTTCCAGGTTTTACATCTTGTTATATTACTACTACTATTATTAATTAAATTCTACGTAATTTGGCACTACAGTAGGGTGACCAGATGTCTCCGATTTCTGGAGCCTGTCCTCGGTTTTTCCTACATTCAATAAATGATTGTAGAATCAATCATTGAATATAACAATTTTATTAACATGCTAATATAATATCACTAATTTATAAATCAATAAATTAATTAATTTTAAAAAATAACCAAAGTTCAATAAGTTTTAAACCCTATTTTCTCTGATTCCGAAATGTGTCCCAGGTTGGATTCTAATTTTACAGTTAGCCTAACAAGAGGGAGGCATTAGGCACCATCGCTTGCTAAATTTAATAATTATATTTAAATTAATATTTTAATAATTAATTTAGTGTAACTGTCTATGTGACTGAACACACACGAAATATGTATCCATTTCATCAAAAATTTTAAATTTTATTATATATGCACATATAATATTTATCATCCGTTTTCGAATATTAACCCATTGTGTTATAACATCAATCTAAAATTCAATTTTATTTTTAAACAGAAAAAAAATCTTACAAAAAGACACAGTAAGTTCGGCTTAAAGTTCCCGGTAAATATTTCTGTTTTGGTTTACACGTGACGTTAGTCATAACTGAGTTGCCAGATGCAACGCAGAAGCGAAAAGTTGGTTCAAAAGTAGTCCGAAGTCGCCCAAAAAACAAATGTACATATATTTTTTTAATTTCTACACATTAAACAAAATATTATATAAAGAGGCTATTAATTAAAATTTTTATGGCAACCAAATATTCCAAGTAATAAATTTTCATATAGAAAAACAATTTTTAATTAATATTAGTTAAATTATTAGTAGCATGGTTTTAAGCATTTTCAATGAAAATGTCAAAACTTCAAATATAAATCATAAAAAATGCATTTTATATAATGGCAACCAGTAGACATTAATTAATATTTTAATTGATACTTCTAATCAACGACATAATATAACTACTAGGCTCCGAATTGGATAAAAGTACTGTATGCCATAGCGGTCCAAAAAGTGCATATACCGTGAACAAATTGCTGACTTATGCCGTACGTTCCTAAATTCAACGGTTGACATAATGGTGAGAAAACGACGTTTCTAAATGAACCATTGAGTTCTCCGTTGAGACCAGTGACATCAGCTCTGTTTTACCGTTGAGCTCAACGGTCTCAACGACCAGAAAGACCGTCGAGTATTCAGCAAACTAACATGGTGGCTTCCATGAAAAAGTAAATTTCGCTTATAGAAGCTATCCATTCACTCTTGCTGTGAATGATATAATAGCGAATAGATTAATGAACGATCTGTATATCATAAAATATGTGATTGCACAATTATGTTGAATAATTTAGTGAACATTGAAATATTAAGCTTTTCTTTCGTAAACAAAATACTGTACCTCCACGAATTTGTCCAAAATTGAATACAACCGATATTTCGCCCTGTATAAGTCTTCCTAATGATATAAATATTCAAGAAATTCAAATTATTAATTAAAGAAAGACCCGGTACATATACAAAAAAAGTGATACAGATAAGGGTTCATTTGAATAAAAGGATTTATTCGAAAAATGGTTAAGCGAGTTACTATTATTATTATTATTATTATTTTTTACTCTTTCCGCCCTGTGGGCACTAAGAGGGCCTCTTTTTGCAGGCCCATTATGGGTTCGGCCAGGCCCACAATGGGGCTGCCGGGTGGTGAGGGACGGGGCCCGACATATCCGAACGGACCACCCCCGAAAAATTCCTGGAGATTTTTCGACTCGTTCGGATTCGGGCCCGGGTCCCCCAGAGCGGTAGGCTGCCACCTTGACCTCTCGGCCATCCGGCCGCTACTTTAATTATTTAGCAAAACAGTCAGAATCGTTACTTTTCCTTAAATAAATTAAGTAGCCCATCATGAAAAGTGCCCTTTCAACTGAAACGTTTCTTTTTTCTACAAAACGTGACGTCAGATCGTTCAACGGAGGGACTCAACGGAAAATTCACTGTTGAGTCAATCGTTGAATATAGAAACGTAAGGATAGTAACTATTTCTGACGTAATTGTTATTTATTTAGTCTCGAATCTGCGGGAATTGTCACTGGACCATGACTAGAATGCCACCGAGTTGCCGTGCAGCAAGATATAAAAAAGATATCTGATCCTTTTGGATCAGGTATCTTTTTTATATCCTTTTTAATCCTTTTGGATCAGGTATCACGTTTCACCGGTATAGGCCTGGTTGCTCTGATACCGAATCGTCGGTTGGCGATCAAACTCTCGTGACTCCTTCTGAAGGAACATATTCTGGAGAAGCATAAAATTTCCTTCAGAAATCCTTATTACCATACGTTGATTTGACGGCCGGATGGCCGAGCGGTTAAGGTGGCAGCCTACCGCTCTGGGGACCAGTATCGTACTCCGGATGGGTCGAAAAATTCCCAGGAATTTTTCGGAGGGTGGTCCGTCCGAATATGCTGGTCCTCATCCCCAGGGGCGGATCTAGGCTTTTCGGGGCCTAGGGCTTATTGAAATTCAATAGGCCCCTTTTACAATAAAACAAATAATATAAATTAACATTATTGAAGATTAATTTGTTATTACTACTAGGTGCATATATAGACACTTGGCAATTCTATCATCAACTTTTATTCGGGAATTTCTTATTTGCCTAGTAGTGATAACAAATTAATCAAAGAAAAGAAGATACGGTTTCGGAATATACAATAACATTATTAATATCAACTATTCTTTACTATACGATAAATGTTCATTGTTAATGAAAAAGTATTAAAATTTTATGAGGATAATTAAATTTTTGTGGACCCTTGACACTTGATTGGTGTTAATGGTGTTAAGCTCTATTAGTCCCTTTGTAGATCCGTCCCTCACCACCTGGCCGCTCCATTGTGGGTCTGGCCAAACCCATAATGGACTTGCTAAAAGAGGCCCTTTTAGTACCCACAGGATAGTAAGAGTTAAAAATACTATGTTAATTATTTTTTTTATTTATGTATTGAACTAGGTTTGACTCGGGACCTGCGACTTTTACAAATCACGAGAAACGTATTTCGTTATCCATTAATTTTTAATTCAAATATGAACAAATATTGGAGTTACGAGGTTTTGATCGCGATCGATAGTGTGATATCCTTTTTTGTACGTAAAACGATCGCAAGACGGATATTTTGTTGACAGTATTTCCTAAAAACAAGTAATACTTCAGTCGGTAGTTGACAGAGCGATACCCCGTGACAAATGGAAATCGAGCAACAGCAGTTTTCTGTAGTCAGAACTTGGAACATGGCTGTTTCTACACAGAACGGATACACCTATTTTCATGAAACATCGGTTGAAAGTTTGATTTTCCTCAGCATCTACAGCGATAGCCAGTAGTGTCACGAAGACCACTAAAGCGAACATCTTTGGTTAACATAGATGATGATACCCAACGAATTGATGATACCTATGACGAGCGGAGTGTACAGCAAGAAGATGAAGCTCAAATGCCTGATCTACCACATCAGATAATCAGGCTCATTGTGGTGTTTCTGTAAGACAAATGTACACCAAATTTTTTAAAGCTCAACAAATTACGTTTATTAATGGGTTACTGCATTTTAAAATATTCATATGGTTTAATAAGTTTATGCCATAAAGAGTCCATAAGTTACGTCCGCGTTTTTCTTAAGTACAAAAACATTTTATGCAAAAAACAGAAGTCTAGAGAAATCCGAGAAGAATGGTAAATGGAATATACAGTAAGACCCCGCTTAATGCGGGGGTCTTACTGTATATTCCTAGCTGCGTTCCTAGACAACAAAGCGCTAAGCGAAACAGCGTTAAACGAGGTCATTTTAACATAGAGTAAATAGTAATAGTAAATAAATTATAAACAAATTTTGCTTTAATTTTTTTATCATGTGTTCCCCTATCCCTGTTTATTGTTAAAATGACCTCATTTAATGCTGTTTCACTTAGCACTTTGTTGTCTAGGAACATATTCCCTGCGTTAAGCGGGGTCTTACTGTATCTAGGAATTATATACACACGCACACACATGTATATGTGTGTCAGTCAAACTTTTTACTTGATCGTTAGTCACTGCAGTGACTCCTGATCTTGTAGATGCAGAGAGACAGTCTATTATTAAAGTGAGTTATCCAATAATGCCTTGTCACCCCAGTCTAATAAGGAACTCCTTCCCTGCCCTGCCTAATGACACTACAGGGTTAAAGAGACTATGCCTTGTTCATCTTTTGGCCTCCTGTCCGCACCCCGGCCCAGCTCTCTAACCTGGCATAACTTTTATATTGTGCAGCCTGTTCTGCACTTTGTTCCACAATACTAAACCTTTTATAGCTCACATACTTAATAGTGTAACGGACAGCAGGGTCCCTTCCTACAAAGAGGGGGGCCCGGCCTAGCGCATCCACTAGGCTTACAGATCGAAGAGATCTATGATTTTTCCCATCAGTTCCTTTAGTTNTTGCTTTTGCACTCCTTTCAAAATCTGAATCATTCGCTACAATTTGATCAACGATTTCGGTTATCTTACCAAACTTTTACTAAGGAAATCTGTAGAGAAATTTTTTGAGTTCTTCGTTTTCAGAATCTCTATTTTCCAGTTCCACATGAATTCCATGTTCTGCCAATTCTTGAAGGTTGTCGTTGGTAAGGTTCTCACCAGAAACCTTTAATAACGCCTCAATATCCTTCTCGTCTACATCTAGTCCTGCTGTACCGATTAGGTTGCTAATGTGGCAGTACGCCATGTATTTTGTATATAGTTTATATTTTATTTTAATTAGCTTTATTTTTCTTTCTGCGTTCCTTTCTTTCCCTTTCTCCTTTTTTCTCCTTTCTTCGTTCTATGGTCTACCCTCTATGGAGTCTCTCCCCGAAATTCCTTTACTTATTGGCTATCGAAAACACCCTAAAACAAGGGGAGGGGTGAGGTAATAGGAGAAGTAAGGGGGGACGAGAGGGAGGAATGAAGTGAGAAGGAGCGGGAGAAGTTTTTTGGAGTGTACATGAGAGGAAAGGAGAGTCTGAGAGTGATAGACCCACGGAAATTAAGAACGAATCTTCGCATCGTAACCGCCAACAGTTGTGTGACTCGAAGTAAAAAAGGGAGATCCTTCCAACTTTACGTATGACCCTCACTAAGGACATTGCAAAGAGAAACGATCTTCGAAGGCCTTACATACTAGCATTGGGTACCTCTTTTCTGAGTTCTAACTTTCCTTTACCTATCCCCTATCTTCTTACTTTAGTTAATATTAGTTTAAGTCTTATTTGTTATTAGTGTTTAAGATAGATTTAGATTTTCGCGCGATGATTTTCAATAACAGGTTCTTTATGTCGCGTCCTGTGATTCGGGATTTTGTTTGTGTAACCTTGTTCGCGATTCTGATTGTTTCTAACTGTCGGGACATAAAGTTAGCACTGGCATCCTAAAGAAGCCTAATGTTAAGCTTCCAACCTTAATTAAAGTTGTCCTTTTTGTCGTACTTTGCTTCCACGTGTCTTCCTTAAAGATGAAGACTACATACTTTCATACTAATTTGGTCAACCTAATGATACAGCGAAAGGCTCTTCTCGTTGAGAATTCTTGGATACCTTCAGCCGTAACTTCTTACACACTTCGTTCGTGCATTTATCAGTTAATTCTTGCCAAGCGAAGTTGATATTTCCTATGGCATCCACGATGTTATATTTTTTCCAAAACTGCACCAAACAAACATAGATTTAAAGAAAGTACACCTTTTTGTCACCTTTTGCTGATTGGTTTGTGTTCGCAAATAATCGTATTATATACCAATCACTGAAACGATAATTAAAATTTAAATTAGGGTAAATTTTGCGATAATCTAACGCGATAATTTAAATTAGGGTAAATTTTGAGTTTTTTTTTTTAGGCTTCGAGCAGACCGCGCTATATCGAATCAGCGTTAAGCGAGGCAGCATTAAACGGAGTCTTAGTGTACTTGAATTTTCGAAATTAAGAAAATACCAATCTCTATGTTTTTATTAATTTATTTTTCACTAATAATTAAAAATTATCCAATTTCTTAAACTAAATTTCAGCATGGACGTAACGAAAAAAAAAGGTGCTTTTCTTTAAAAATAACTGGCAACGTTACTATTAAATCCCGTATTCTAATTAAATAAAAAGTGATACCGATCTATTAAGGAATTTTTAAATATTTCAATACGACAAATATAAATTAATTATAAACACAATAAAAATTACTTAAGCTAATTTTCCAATTAAATTCCTAACAATTACCAACCAATAATCGGAAAGAAGGAACAGTTCCTCCGTTTATTACTTAATTCCGTTTCGAAACATCTGGTTCTTCGGCTATCCGTATTTAGTCTGTTGTCGGATGAAAAAAATTTAATTCCCGAAAGAAATTTTAGTAAATAAAAGAGAAAAGCATTTTATGGAGACTATTGAGAAATGGCGAACATAGCCGTTCAAAGAATTAAACGGGAATTTAAAGAAGTTGTTAAAAGTGAAGAGGTACTGTATAGGTTGTTTTCAATGCATTACGTCAACCAACGTAATGACCCTGTTTAAAGGCCCTTTGTTGTTTAAAATAACGAGTTCAATTAGAATATTTTACGATTATTTCAAAAATAAACTCTTTTATTTACCGATTTTTATTAACAACTTTATAACGAGAAATTAAACGTTATTTTAAAAACAATTTTTCAATAATGAAATAATTGTTCAATTGCAGTAATTTTCGTGTAAATTTCATTCAGGTTTAATGTATTTATATATTTAAATTTTTATAAAATCAATTTCAGATTTTAAAATTTCTGATTGGTGTATATATTTGTAATTTTCCTTAATTTTATATGGGTTTTTCATATCCAACTTAAAATATTGCAGTTTAAATTAATTTCATTTGCTCGGTAATTACATAAATCTGTTATATTTTACTGAATTCGATTCATTTAGTAAGGTTAATAAGAAAATTTAAATTTAAACTAGATTAAGTAATTATACATTAACAAATTTCTTGATATGTAAAGTAAAATCTTTCTGAAATTTCCCTATTAGAATACACATTTTAGAGTACAGTATGATGCTTTAAATAGGCAATTACAGTCGACCCCCGTATAAGATCATTGATTATTCCGTTTTATATGAATTCCATGTTGTACGAGTCACTTAGATTTTACAAATACCTGTGCCGGGCTGTGAACGGCTCACGTATTTGTAAAATTTAAGTGACTTGTACAACATGGAATTCATATAAAACGGAATAATCAATGATCTTATACGGGGNAGTTTATTAACAATGTGTAATTAATTAATTTGGTTTTATATTCAGATGTCCTGTTAATAATAACAGGATGATTTTTTTGCATTTATTAATGAATCATTAAATTAACAGATAAATTTTGTATAATTTATGAAATTTATAATAAATGAATTCATCAGTCTTAAGCATCCCTATATTTTACAACTTTTTGTAATTTTTTATATGTTTAATTTTTGGTATGATTACTTTGAATCTTCTCTTAAGTCAATAAATTCAATAAGCTTTCTTGAAAGTTAATTAAATATTTGATAAAAAGTTATTTTAGAAACATTTCATTTCATTTGTTTCCATGTTTGTTTTTCAAAACCTTGCATACCTTTAATTTCATTGCATATAAAATATTTTAAATTTATATTTTTATGTAAAGATGCTACCTGCATAATAAATTCATACAATATATTACATGTAATTGTTGTTATATTAATTAAAACTCAAAAATAAAATTTTTAGATTATTTATGATGTCTTTTAGCAATTATACACTATAAACATATGCCAACATTAAAGGAAATTGTTCTTATAGCTTCATGATAACTATTGTGTTCATATATTATTCTTCTAGTTATTATTGTAAAACTTTAAACTTGTTTTAACGTAATTTTGGTAATCATGATTCAATTCTTGAAATCATCTCTGTTTATATTTTTTATATAAAGATTATTTGTAGGAATGTACTGTATTTTTAAGGTCTTTATATATTTTCATAATTGATATTTGTTTCATTTTATCTGGTTAGTACTACAGTATATCCTTTTTTAGTTTGTTTTTAATAAATATAGCATAGGTTTTCAAACTATGGCCTCTGGGCTTCTAATTTGTGAAGTTTTTAGGAATGCACAAGTTATGAAATATTAAATAAATAAACAAACATGTATGTTTGTTTATTTATTTAATATTTCAATTAAAAAAAGAGTGAAAAATATTTACTCATCTTATGAAATGATATATTATTATTTAATATGTAATAAATAATAATAATAATTAATTAAAACAAAGCTGTATTCATCATATTACTCTTATTGTATTTATTTAATATAATCTGTTTTAATCTCTACTTTAAAAGAAATAAAAATCTCCTATAAAATATATTACAAAGCACTATTTTCAAAATTTATTCCAATGATAGCAGTTTTTCATTTATATTAGTTCAAATTTGTGTGTATCTAATAATCTTTATGTATTGGTTTTATTACTGAGAAATTTGAATATTGTAGCAAGTCTTGCACATTCAAGACATGCATCATATTATATACAGTATATGAATCCACTTATCCACGATGATTAAGTCAAAATTACTAAATCAGAAACCAATAGTTTCTGATTTATCTATTGTATAATAGGTCTGATCAAGAAATGAAAACTTTTAACTTTTGCATTTTTGATATTAGATGAAACTAGCATCAAATTATTAGGACCTTGAATAAGTTCTCACTGTTTCCCAACAGATGGTGTTACCAGAACTGCACATGTGTAGTTTAAGATGGTGGTGCATTTGTAAGGAACTATAATAAGCAAGCTTGAAATTCAGTATATGTCATTTCACTGAAATGTAAACAATTTTTTTTTTATAATGTTAAACATGTTGAGTTTCATGCCAAAAAAAAGAGTATTTGCGGGGAATTTTATTGTACTATTTTATTAAAAAAAAAATCTGCAGCTGAAGCACACAGAATTCTTGTTGAGACTTACAGCGACCATGCTCTGTTGGAAATGACATGCAGAGATTGGTTTAGATGCTTCAAAAATAACAATTTTGATGTTGAAGATAAAGAACGCTCTGGTGCACCAAAAAGGTTTGAAGACAAAAAATTGGAGTCATTACTTTGTGAAAACTCCTGTCAGATGCTAGCTGAACTTGCACAATCATTAGGAATTGATCATACAACAGTTTTGAAACGTTTGAAAGTATTAGGAATGATTTCAAAAGCAAGGATATTGGGTGCCGTACGAGTTGAAGCCAAGAGACATTTAACGGTATCTTTTCAGATGTGAACAACTGCTTCAATGGCAGAAAACATAAAATTTTTGCATCATACTGTGACTGGTGATGAAAAGTGGATACACTATGATAACCCTAAACATAGAAGCTCTTGCTTGGGGTAAGTCTGGCCATGCATCAACATCATCGGCAAAGCCAAATATCCATGGTTCAAAGCTTCTGCTCTGCATTTGGTGGGATCAGCTTGGTGTAGTTTATTATGAGTTGCTCAAACCGAATGAAACCATCATGGGAGATTGCTATTGACTACAATTGATGTGTTTGAGCCAATCATTGAAGGAAAAATGGCCGCTATATGAGCAGAGACACGACAAAGTGATTTTGCAACATAACGCTTGGCCACATGTTGCACAACTGGTGAAAACCTACTTGGAAATGCTTAAATGGGAAGTCCTACCCCGCCCACCGTATTCACCAGACATTGCCCCTTCCGATTATCACTTGTTCTGATCGATGGCACATGGCATGGCTGAGCAGCACTTCCATTCTTATGAATATGCCAAAAAATGGGTCAATTCTTGGATAGCCTCAAAAGACAACATGGAATTCATATAAAACGGAATAATCAATGATCTTATACGGGTGTCGACTGTAATTACTGTATATCATTTGATTTCATGATATTTTGTATATCTTAAAAATAAATAATTCTGTCCTGGGATTTCCTGTGATCCCAGGAAACAGTTCACTTTTATCCTGGAATCCTGGGACAAGCAAAAGACNTTTTTTTACTTTTTTTTTTTTTTAAATAAAGCATTAATTTTCATGTAAAAACAGCGAGAACTTAATCAAGGTCCCAATAATTTACTTGTCAATCACAAGGAGAACTGAATCTAAGACTTTGATCTTGACATTGCTGTTCTTTGAATTTGAATTGCAGAATTTTGAGAGATGATGATGATCAAAGTAAACATTAAATTTTGAATATAATGATTTCAGTTTTCTTATTCCCAATATAGCTATTTATGGTTCTTATTCTAATTTCTAACAACTATTTACTAAAATTTAAAGTTTTGATCCTATGATAATACATTGTTGTATATGCACATGGTGAAAAATGAGTCTAAAATTTAAAGAGATACGATAAGACAAAGGAATTTCTTTAATTTTTCACCAGTATTCGATAAATTTACAAGATTTTGTTTGGATTCCAACAATTCCTTGAACAAAATGTCTAGAATGTTAACTCGGACAGGAACATTAACCTGAATTCTTGAGACAAAGGAATGGCTTTACAAAAATATGCGGCATTACAAAATTAAGCACGAAAAACTTACAACTAATTACCTAGGAACTACTTATTCTATAGGGAAGGATAGAAGGAGTATTTGATAGGATAGAACCAAATGTTAATGGTTACCCAACTTAGCTAGTAACCTTATGATCGAAGTTGTATCTTAGATCTCTCTGCTGGACGACACGAAGTCCAATGATCATAGAGTTCGAACTTCTCCTTTCTCTCTTTGGGTTGTAAAGTACTATTTTTAATTTGTTGCTCTACAACGATATTTTTCTTAGAGCCAGGACCTAACGGGTACTTTACGCGGGTTCGCGTTTGTTAGTTGCCAGGCCTGGACTTTTAGCGTGCACCGAAATAAATTAAGGACAAAGTTAGTCACAAAAGAATCTCAATAATAAATGTTTAATCAAGTTTAACCAATACTATATCCAAGATTTATAAACAAACAACAAATTTATTAATCAAAATCAAATCACAAATCAACCCGACAAACTTAAGTCTTATTCTAACTTAGAACTATTCCCCTTGGAATTCCGACAAAACAAAAATCCAATTCTTAACTTAAATACAAATTCTCTTATAACTATCAATCCTAACCGTCACCTCAATTAATACTCGGAACCTGTTCTTCTACTCAAGACTTTCCTATTTCCAAATCACCAAAATCGAACCTTCAATCTCCTACTAGGATTTCCTATTCGACACCTATTCACTGCTACCAGCAGACCAACGCTTTCGGTTCAGGAGCTCACCTCTTCTGTCTTCACTTGAGCTACTGTACTTATAGTATGAGGTGACATCACAGTTCTACTGTAGCCACTCCCCTCATTTACATATCTACACGTAACATTGTTTTCTCTTCGTTATCTGGTAGCTTATTTCTCGACAATACTTTGTTAACCTTTTACAGCATTTCTTTAACAATTATCGGGATGTTTTGTTAAGGTTACA